TAGACACCACTTGCAAGAACGTGCCAGAGAGACACAAGTGTTTCGAGCAATCTGGTGCGCACACTCCCCACCTCTTCCGCGTGGTTTCCTTCATCGGGACAAGAAATGATAGAGGGAAACGTACGTTGGAAAACAAGCGCCGGCACTGCTCTCCCTTCCTCGCTAACGCTGTCCCGATTCTGTCCGGAGCCATTGCTGTCACTCAGGCCGCAGAGGAAGATGCTCCCTGAGCTGGGAATCAGGGCCCCAGGAATGGTATTAAGCGGCTGATTAATGGGCAAAGGATCCAACCACTATCACGCCTCTCCTTCCGCCTCAGCTCAGCCTCTCCGCCATCCCCTTGCCTGTTTTTATTTCGCCGTGCCTCGCTCTCCGATGAGCCAAAGGAACTAATGTGCTCAGCTGCCTGGGGAAGGAGATTGGGAAGCGTTAAGGACAGCGGGGAAAACCCCGGCACAGGGAGAGGAAGGGTTAAATGATGGAACATACAGTGGCCACAAACGCGCCTGAGGCTTGGGGTGCTGGCATCTGCACCAACTAAAAGTTGAAGAGCTTAAATCAATGCAGAGACACAGATCCAGAGCCAACCTGGCCCAGACGATGGAACTCGGTGGAACCAAGAGAAGAACATCGCGCGTGAGAGGTCCTGCAGCAGCATCGGCTGGAGGTGCCGCAGGAAAAGCGGCAAGATCCGTGGCAGCTTGAATGTAACAGCAGAAAGGAGGAACCCAGGCTTACGCCAAGACTTGGCGATGCAGTGCCAGTTTCACACGGCCTCCCATCCCTTGCCACAAAATAAGGAGAAACTGTCCAGCAAGGCACATCAAATCTGGACACTGGAGTCCGCGCAAGAACCACCTAAGTCTGGCAAAGACAGATGTGAAAATCGCTGAAACAGGAAACATCATTCCTCAATAGACTGCTTTAATTTTATCCTCAGATCGTTAAATATGAACAATAAAGTCCCTCTTCTCTAATACCATTTTTACTCAAGCCTTTCAGTACTCGCTCAAGGACTTGGGAAAGGATGCAACGAGGGTAAGACAACAGGAATACCTCTGGAGAAATCATCTCATGGAAGAGGCTTCCCCACACTACGGAGGGCACTTGGGAAAGCAAGCCCTTCCCAACATATAGGAATGCTGTACATTCAGATGGATTCACTGCTGCCGCCCAGCAAACCCACTCAGATGTTGAATTCTGGCGTGAGAAAAACCAAACCCACACGTGCCAAGTGTGGCCACGCCTTCCTTAATACTTGTCACTGATGGGTAACAAGCTTATTCTAAAATGGATTATATTTTTGGCTAAAAAGAGGAAGTATTTTCTCATACTAAACTCCAGTTAGCTTCCCTTCAAGTGTTTTTTCTTGCCCGCATGAACAAAACCTACAGGACTGTCCCCGTTCTGGACAGGACGACTCAGAGAACTGAGAACAGCCCTGCAACGCTACGCACGAGGTGCGCAGGGCAGACCTGCTGCAGCACAGAACGAGGCCGTTACCCCTTTCGCTGCAGAGGAGGGAGATCCTATTTTAGTATTTCCCATCCAAGGTTCATAGTCTTACCGTGCAGCATGAGAACAAACCGCCTTTCTTAGCAGAAAGCATTTTAAGGCAGTTTGAAGGATGAGAACCATGATGTATAACTTTATAGTCCACACTATTTACCGCCTTAAGACTGTGTCATAGCAGCTTTCAAGATCCGATTTCTAATTTTCTAATTTGAAGTTGTACTAAAGGTGGTAAACTCTTGAACTGATTTTGTTGTTCTTTTTTTAGGCACTCTACTTCTAGTCATCAGATAAAGGGATTAGAGTCTTACATCACGGTTTAATACCTCTGGAAGATAACTTGACACTAGAAGGACCTTCCTCACTCTCAGTATCTATCGCTAATTTAAAACATGCTTTCCCATTATCCCCTTGATGGGTATTCAAGTTGGTAAAAGCAAACTGTTCTTTAACATTATAAGGTTAAAAATAACTGGCAGAAATTAAATCGACTAAGCTTGAACAGCAGCCGAAGACTACAGGTTCGGATACAAAACAGGAATCAGAACTCATAGCAGGGAAAGCCAGAGTAGGCGTTAACGAGCTGCAAGACTGATAATTATCAAACCATCTATCTCTAAGTCTCAATCAGCAAACATAACATTACAGACAGTGTTGCTGTATCTATTGGCATGATGGAAAATTATTTTCACTATTTCTGGCATTGAAAAGCCAATAGATCTAGACGTAAAATAAACCTGAGCAGACATAATGACAAATGTAGCTCACAAAACACAATTTTATTGTTCAGAACTGCTGTGGGAAGAGACACCCGTATCAAAAGTTCTCTGAGGAACTAACAGGCACCTTTAAATTAGGGAAAAGAAAAAATAATCATAAGGAGGAATAATCTGGCTGCAACTTCGATGCTGCTTCAGGAACGAGTGGCTGGTAGAGGACAGCATGCTGCTAACTTTCCAGTTTGGTCTTAACTAGTTCCAATTCTGCAGAGAACAAACTGGTTCGATCTAAAAATCTCTAAAAATCTCTCTTCAGGAGTTGCATTAAGCACTTTAGCTCTCCTCGGCTGAATACTTTGCTTTCTCCTGAAGAAGTATCAAGCCTCACCAGCAACAACAAACGGTTGATAAACTCTGATCAGAAAGGCTGCTCTAAGACACATCCTAAGCATCAAGTATAAAACTCTTTCTTTGGCTGAATGCCTGTTTCCCTGAATAAGGGAGGCACAGCATCGTCCCGTAAACCCAACAGAGGGACAACAGGATGGACAAGTATCTTGGAGTGACCTGGCGCGCAATTCCCAGGTGACAGGCTGGTGGAGCAGAGGTCCTCCCTGGTACATGCATCCAGCACGGGAACAGGGGCACTGGCAGCGTCCCTCTATGCAGGAAAGACATGCAGGAACAATTGTATTTTCAACTGCTATTAGATGCCTCATGAACCTTTCATTTAAGCAAATACTCCTGACACACCAGGTAAAATTTTAAGTCAGAGAGCAATTACAGGGGAATTTGGAATAAATTACAGTTTCCACCTTCAACAGTGATGCAGGCTAATCTCAACTGCAAGATCTCCAAAAGCTGTCCTACTACGGTCACTACGTTTCAGAGACCGGGGAATTTTTACATATCAATTTGAAAGTAAGTTTGAAATCCCTGAAGAGATCATGCACTACAAAGGAATTCACCGTTCGAAGGAGAGCACGCTCGAAGAAGTGACATCTACGTTCAACCTACTGCACCACATGCTCAAATCCGTAATTCTCTTACACCCCTTCCTGACTCTCCTTGGTATCGCAGCTTCCACATCACCCTGGACGGGGAAGCTTGCCCTCACAACCTGTTTTAAGGGGTAAAAGTTTTGGACTTTCACCTTTGCTGCCTTAGGGCCATCCAATGGCTTTTGCATGCTGAGAACATCTGCATCATGAACTGACAGACCACAGACACAACTGAAGGCATGACCTGACTAAAGCAGCAGAAATCAAACTTAAAACAAGAACCAGACAAGGTTTTGAGCTCATACTACTGACACTCGTCATTTAACTGGAAAAGAAAGTGCCCAAAAAGGGTCCTAGATCATAGAGAAAGTGTTTATCATGGCTGACAGGGCAGGCAGACATCACTGCAAGGTTGTGTTTGAACTCCAGAGAGAAAGATGCGGGAGCAGAAAGACCATGATGAGTACGCAGTTGACAAAGGCAGGAAAAGGTTTAACAGACCTTTTTCAAGTAAATAAAGAGAATCTCTGCTTTTGATTGCGCTCACAATGGGAAGAAGAAAAAGAGGAAGATGTAAACACGTGCAATATAATTCAACATCCTCCCCTTCTTTACCATTTACCATCAGTGTTCGAATCAGCATATTTTGATGCTTGAAGAAGGGGTGAACCCCAGCTGCACCGTCTCAAGCATCTGTATGAGGAACACGACGGCCAAGAGCTTCGCTGAAGGAAAGCAATGTGTAATCCCACTTCCACACTCCCTCTACTCAATCCCTTCAGCTGAGGTACTACCAAGACAGAGAAGTAAGAAGTGCAACAGATTTGAGGAGAAAAACAGAAGACAACTTCTCAAGTCTGGCAGGAGCTGCTGAGCTGCTCAAGAAAACCCAGTGTTTCTTGCAATACTACCAGCACCACAGGTAAGACAAATGCTGGGTCCTTTCCTCTAATTTCAAAATAACCACGGGCAGCGGAAAACACAAAATGTTTTCCCCTCCTGCTGCTCAAGCTCCCCAAACCAACACCAGTTTTACACGAAACTTGCATGCACTGCACGAACCTCGCCAGATGAACTGGACTGACTCATATAAACAAAGGAAAGCGAAAGAAAATCTCCGAAGAGACTGTACACTGTGCGGCCAAAACAGAAGCAGCATTCCAACACTGCTATTAACATTAAACACTAACATCTGCTCTTGTTAGAAATCAGTATTTTTGCTAATAAAAAACCCCAAACAAATCCCATTCCTTTATAGGAGTGAAACACACGCGTTGATCTTCAATTATATTTATAGAAGGCCATCTAGTTTCAGTGACCCCCACGCAAAAAATCCAGTCACGGTAACAACAACAAACTTACCAGCTCTACTGTCATCTCAATGATCTGATGATTAAATCTACTTGACTCCCCGATAGGGAAAAAAAAAATAATTGGTGGACAAACAGGGGCAGTGACAGGCCGGACTATACCAAACCCTGTCTCTTGGCTGCTGCTCACACGCTATTTCTCGTGCCAGTGAGGTAGCTGATCGTTCTATTGCTGTGTGCATCGACGCACCGACCCCTCTACGACGCGATATACAGGGTGAAGTCACAGCGTTCATCTGAACTACAGGCAGCAAATACCTGCTGTCCCACGCCTTACGCTGGAGAGAGGAAGGGTGTAGTCCTCAGGGGTTCACTGAACCCTTCCCATCACCATAAGGTTAGGGTCTCTGGTGGGGTTCACTCCTGTACAGGCTTCCCACGGACTTCTGGATGCATGCTCAGCACTGTGCTTCATCCACTGGGGCACAGGGCCTGGCAAGCAAAGGGTTGAGGGAGGGAGACAGACAGGATGGGGAAAGCTTGAAAATTAAAGTTTTAAAATATACAAAATGTAACACACTGGAAAAAGTTTAAAAGTTGCAAGACAAGAAAGGAAAAGGAAAAAAAAAATACATGGGGTGAGGAGAGAGGACTGGAAGATGATGGCAGAAGATTCCAGCTTGGGAAAAAGAGCGGGTCAGGTCTAGTTAGCGCTACTCCCTCTGGTAGCCGCTCAGTTCCACCTCATCCTTGCGGCGACGGTGCGCAAAGAGGGAGCTGAAGGGGTAGAGCTTGGCTTTGGCCTGGAAGCGCTGCCCAGCAATGTCGATCTCGTACTCGCCCTGGTTGATGAAGTCAGTTGTCACCACCAGCTCTTCTCCCGTCTGCTCGTCAAAGTGCTGCACGAAGCCGAGGCAGACGTGGCGCTCCAGAGTGTAACTGTAGGCGCTGCTGGTGGTCTTGCCCACGTAGCGGCCGTTGCGGAAAATGGGTTCCCCCCACCAGGGCCAGAGGTCCGTATCTGTGTCATGGTCCTCAAGAATGAACATGGTAAAGCGCTTGTACACACCGTTCTGCTTCTGTTCCAACAGTGCTTCCTGGCCAACAAACTGCATTCCCTGTGGAGAAAAGGAAGAACTGGCTGATGAAAGGAACACGAACTGCAGCAGCTGCCGAGTTTCAGCAGAGAAGCTTACTGACGTAAGGTGAATTTGCGCTTGGAACTCATGCCCTACACCAAGACAGGCTGCTTCTACAGGCAAGAAACCCAGCTCAGACAGAAGCTTTCCTGTCATGTTTGTTATTGCAGATGCTAAAAGATATTTGTGAAGCCTTTAAAAAACTCATTCTGATTTCCACCGTGCTGAAAACATGTCACTATTCCAGCTTTTGCCATTTTTCCAGAAGTCTACCATGTTCTGTAAACCAGAAGGCAACTGGTTTACATATGAAATTTCTGTCCCTAATTACTACATCCCCTTCTCTGAATTATTTGACACAAGCATTTGTTTTGGCTCATGCAAAGAAGGCAACAAGGAAGTGATAGAGGTGGCACCTGCCACCACCACAAGCAGGACACAACCCTACACTGCTCTACGTTGTAATAAAAATAGAGAACTCCCCTGTTTTAGTGAGAACACCTGTTCTTGGCGCCTATCCTCAATATTTAATTTCATTAAATGCCACTTGGTGCACACAGGCGGGCTTTTGCTTCATCAGATTGGGAAAACAGCTGGGAGAAACGTGAACTCGTAGACAGCACCCTCGCTACAATGAGCATCGCACACGTGAGCAACACAGGACACCGCACGGATCAATGGGAATGCTGCCCAGGAAGGAGGAAGACAGAATATTTTTGGTATTTCTAGCACTTTTTTTTAAAGTACAAGAATATAGGTTATAGTTGTGCAGTGCACACAGCTCTGTCAAAAAAAAAAAGACACATCTATCCACCCGGATGACCGTCTTTTCAGTTCAGTACTGCTCTCCCACCCACCCCAGTGCAGGAGGTGGTCTACCTTTTCCAGCTTGACCTGGAACTCGCGTCCACACTCCATAGGAGTGGTAAAAGCATCCAGATCCTGGCCCCAGAACGCAAAGAACTTCTCAATGCGCAGGCTGCGGAGCGCGTAATAACCGGCGTTCCGAATCCCGTACTTCTGTCCCATGTTCATCACCTCATTGTACACGTGAAGGGCGTACTGCAAAAGAAGGGTGAAACACAGAGCTGCAGACTAACACCAGGAGAGAGAAACAGCATCTGACACACCACCACGGACGTTACAAGTGCTCTGCCTCCGGAGCACAAGAGGTCTGCCCGACTGGAATGCTATACAAAGCAGGGAAATTCCCCCTGGAGCCTGCAGGCAGCTTTCCCATGGTACAGACCAGACATCTCATTACCTTGAGTCAACTCGGAAAGTGTTTCTGATTATGCATGCAGGCAACTGTTTTAATGAGCTAAGGCTACAGTGTACTCTTACCTCTATGGGGATATAAAGCATGAATCCAGGTTCTCCTGTGTGAGTGATACTCATCACACGGATGCCGTTAGCATAGCCCACGCTCATCTCCTGCAGAATCAGAGGGGGTGAAATCATCCAAACTGGAACACAGCACAGAGATCCAGGAGCAGCGCAATGCGTAACGCAAACCACACCGGCCAGCCCTCTCTCCCCTTTCTCACTGCAGTTCGCCACCAGCACATACTTGCAAAGAATTTAAACTTAAAAATTCAAATAGTGATACCACATTATCCAGACTCCTTAATCACTTCATGACAGTTGGCAATAAGCCTTGGAACTAGACCAGGACACAGGCTTGTACTCTAGATACAAGACCGAAGTTGAGCAGCAGCTATCTGCTCAGGCTTGTAACGGGACAGGAGATGATAACTCCCGAGTCACCGATCCCAGCTGCCCCTCTGACTGACAGCTTCATAATTGAGTATATGAAATATGCCAAGATATCAAATGGCACCAAGCCTGCAGTGAGTGGAATATCAAAACAAATGCATATTCACCTAGATATTTAGGAAGCAGAGCCCAAAGAGGAGTAGTTAAAGTGAGGCTGGCGAGTTCATTACCAACCTAAGCTCAGTAACTGCAGTAAACCCGTAGGTACCTCTAAATTCCCCCCTAACTACCCAAAATGTAATTCCTCCCCTCCCTTCCCCACATGCTTTGAAAAATCTAGCAGGGTGAGGAAGGAGGAAGGAAGCACAGTCACTCACCTTGCAAAAGAGCGAGGGAAAGTGTTCTGGAGTTATCGGGGCATATGACAACTCTGACAGGACATCCACAGCACGGGGACCGATCAGATTGAGAGCTAAAGAGGGGAAGGTAACAGTTTTGGGATGAGACTGGACAAGTCTGGCCCGGTGTCTAACTTGCATATACACATGCCCCAATTTCTAAACTCTTAGTGTTTATTGAACTACTAGGTATGTTTACATTTTAGAGTGATTAAACTCTCTCTCCAGACAGTCCACAGGAAAGGAAAGCTGCCTCCCAGCTCATGGCTTGCTAGAAGGAAGTATCTGAATCACTGTTTTCATCCAACTGTTTGGAAAGGACACCCAGTCTCCACTCTAGACACCTTAAACAATTAACTGGCATGCGGCACAAGACACCATTTGTGATTTCAGGCTGCGTAAGGAGGTCTGCTTTCAGTGGTTTCTTACCCGTGTACTTCCAGGTCACGTCTTCCATGGTCAGGTTGCTGTCATCAGGCAAGCGGTTCTTCAGCCAGGCCCAGCAATGGACTTGTTGGTCAGTCGGGGAAATCATGAAAAAGCTGGAAAATTGAAACCAAAAAACAATGAACAGACAGCCACGAGATGATTCAGTTCAGTCTTTGTCCACAAACTAATGGAGCCATTCAGCAGCTCCCAAGCTAACAGGAGACCAAAACAAGCTGGTTTGCGAAAACCACAGCTAAAGTCTCTGGCTTGATGCCATCACATTCCTCATGCCAAAAAACCCCATCAGCAGTGCTCTGGTGACAAGAAATGACTAGAAGTGGAACACAGTTCTACTGAAAGTTCACAGGGTATCTCAAAAGTCACGATCATTTTGCAGAAGGTATTCACAGCTCTTCACCACCAGTGATTCCGTCTACTCCGACAGTCAGAAGAGCGCTTGGTTCACCCAGCAATTTCTTGCTTCAGCAAAAGTCTTCTCACGCACAATGGTGGTTATTATTAACAGTTTCTAAAAACAGAACTCCACTTGATATGTGAAAATGAGCTACTTGTGTAAGTCTCTCTCACACAACTGCGAGTCAAAGTACATTATTGAGAGAGATAACATCTGCAGAAGTGACTAGGCAAGGAGGAAAGCTACTGGTTTCACACAGCGAAGGACAATACTTTTAAGCAATACATGAATGCAGATAGAAGAGGGAGAGAAAGAAAAGCTGTTTCTAATTGAAAGAGCAGCAAAGAAGAATGCTTTCACACCAACACAATGAAAGAACACATAGAAAACAGTCTAGAGAAATAAACCCAACACTCAGCTGGGACGTGCCCCTGAAAAAGTTTTGAAAAACGAGAAGGTTTTTTTATTAAATGCCAAAGAGAGCCCAAACTGTTGAGTCTGAGGATGAGATCCTGTGATCATGTCAGTTTGCACCAGAGAGCACAGAAAATAATCATGAGAGACTGCAGAGCTGAGAATTACAGTAACCATACTGCAAGGCAAGTTGAAATAATCAAAAAATAGTATTTTGAGCATGGAATTCCAACGAGATTGGCTAGGAGCCAATGAGGAACCGTTCGGCTTGCACTTTAAATGATTACCTACATTAATGACATAATGACCCTAATGACTGCTGAAAACAATCTTTCAACTGAGAAGTTAAACACCTGAAGGCCTAACATTTTGTAGAAATCTATGTTCATCCGTAGCCCCAGAAAAAGGCGTATTTGCCCCAATATTCATAAATTCAGGAGCTCCCTCTCATTCGGGTTGCTGAATTAGGAATGTAAGTGGAGAATTGCGACTTTTTTCTTTACAGTGGCAAAAAAAGGTTTATGATCTTCATTAAGAGGTTCTTCTAACACCCAAAGGGAGACGGATAAAGATGCTGTCTGCATACCTACCTGCGTTTGCTCAATCGTGCGATGCTGCAGTCATTCTCATAACCTCCTTTCTCGTTAAGCATGCCTGTATGCACAACATGCCCAACCGGCACATCCAGGTCATTCGAGAAGAGATACTGCAGACTCTCCAGGGCCTGGTCTCCCGTCGACTACGTGAATTGAAAGGGAGAGAAAGTCAGACAAGCCGTCTGAGCAACACAAATCCACTGGGGCAGTTTAAGATCGCATCAACGTCCTGGCCTAATTTTTTTCAATTTGTAATGATAGTGACACCGATGTCTCGAGTGTAATAGGATACAATGGTGACGCAGTGCCAGAGGTCAAATTCTATTTATAGACTAAGCTGGTATTTCTGTAAACCGGGCCCTCGACAGACAAAAAGCTATCTGTGCTAAATATTGTGGTGCAACCTGAATTTGGTCATACAGCTTGACTTCCTCCAGCTATCCTCGATAGGAGACACAGACTTTTGTAAAAGCAGTCAACAGTAAACTAAAGGCCACCTTTACCAGGCTGCTGCTTTGTCACTTCCTAGGTACTTACGCTGATTTCAAACTTTGTAAAAGACGACATGTCAATGACACAAACTGCTTCCTTACAGCACTTGACTTCGGAACCCACAATATCAAACCAGTCTGGTTTGTAAAAGGTTTTGCTCTGATCCAAATCCAGCAGATCTAACGTAAAGGAGAATCAAAGGGACAATTCATAAACTGGATGAACTAAGATCTTGCACAGATCAGGAGGGATGTGCTAGGCAGAGGAAAATATGATCTCACCTTTCCCAGGTGGGACAAAATACTTGACTCTCTCAAATCCGTGCTTCTCCATCCACCGAGCTCCCTGTGCATCCAGACGGTCGTACAGTGGTGAAGTACGCAGCTGCCTGCCTGTCTGGAAGTCCCAGCGGGGAACCTTCAGATCACACATGAGGGCTGCAACGGTCACAAAGATCCATTAGCAGGCAAAGCGATTATCTAAAAATTTCTCCCAGATTATCAATAAACATACTTACTAATATCTGAACCATTAATGAAATTCCCTCAAAACAGTTCTGACCTTCCTTTGCAGTTTTTGGAAACTGGCAAATCTGTTTCAATCCATTTATAGCCGTTCAAAATCACAGTAGCAGTATCTGCGCAGAACACTTATATTTATAGATACTTGTGGTCTCATGACAATACTGTCAAGATAACAAAAACTCTATTTCTCATGAAGTCATGCTGACTAGCATTAATTATGCCTGATTCTTCCCTGGCAGCGCACTGTATCAGACACTTATCATCTTGACAATACTAACGCTGGGGTAGGCAGCCCACAGCTACAAGGATCATCTAATTTACTGTCTTAAATATTGGCAGTTAAGCCTTTTCTAATTATAGAAGCTTTTCCGGAGGGCTCCTATTCCTTTTCAGCCGATACAGAATATTCTTATTTAGAAAACAAATTACCCTAATAAACGTTTAGCATCCTCCTTGGTTACCAGTGGGGAGTAATAACTCATGGATGCTTGAATACTTCTTTATAAATGTTGAGCTTCTACATAAGTTATAAGCTGCTTAAAACTGAAGACGAGTCGAATATTTCTTACTGAATGCTTCTATTGGTTTTGCCTCATAGCTAACGATTTAATTACTTTATTGCCTTTATCGGGTATTGGTACTCCTGAAAAAGTGGATGGAGGGAAGAATAGATTAGAATGGGAACATAACACCACAGAAATTGAATATAGTCCTTATCTTGTAAAAAGCAGAGTGATTCTGTAGCTATCAGAATCAAGATTTGTATTGGAAAGCGACTGTGGAACAATGCCAAGAGTATGAAGTGATTTTTCTGGGAGGAAGGTCAAAGCATAAGGTTTTCATTTCCTGGATATAGCAGGGCTAAGAGGTTTACCCAACTTCTCTGCTTTCACCCAAACACGTGTTTTTAGTTTAGGTTTGGTATTCAAATAATCGTTCCTGTTTTGCAGCTTGTGGAGCACTTCGTACTTCTATTTGAAACTTGAAAAGAAGTTGTCCGCATTATGTCAGGACAGATAATCAAACAGTAGGAGGAAACTAAGTATGGATTTAGACAGGAACAATGACATCTCAAATCTATTTAGCAAAGTATTTATCGCAAGCTTTGACAGGAGAAAGCAGAATACATCTAGGAAGACTTCCTGAATGACATAAGGTAACTGGATCACATACTCCTAAGTTGGAGGCGATGGTATTTCCACGCTGTACTGATGTGCAAAGAATAACAATGTTTGAGACAGCGTAACACTCCCAGTTAAGACCTTGGTATTGTTTAATTAGGCTGGAGTCCTAGAAAGATACACACAAATTTCCCCATACCAGAGGCAAAGCAGAGAAACAGGAGCAAGCACGGTACCAACAGCATTTCTTTAAGAAAAGTTAAGAACCCCGCTAATACAAAAAAACCCCCATCCTTTCCTTTGTCCTGGGAAGAGGCTGTATTGCCACAAAGGAGGCCAGGAAGAAGGAAAATGGTTCTCAGAGCGATGACAGAAGAGAGACAGGGCAGCAAAGAGGAAAATCTTGGACATCTTGACCCGGCACCGAATGCAGAGACCTCACTTACGCATTACTTCCATCACACGGTGACGGAGAAAAGTGCGACTGCTCTGAAGGGTACCAAAACGTTTCAAATCCAGAGGCCAGACATTTTCTGATGGGTACCCATTTACCATCCACTCTGCCAGGTATCTGTTGGAAGAAGTAAAGAAAGACTGAGATATAAGGCAATGCCTTAAGGGAAAAAAGTCTAGCTTTGAAGTCAGAAGCAAGGCAATTTGGACATGAGAATACCTTGCAGTAGGGAGGGAGAAGACAACTAACTTGGTATTCTAAATACTAGCAGAATCGGGAAGGTTTCCCTTCATAAAACCCATCCACCAGATTTCCAAATGATTAATTTCCCATTAGGATGAAACATGGGCAGCAGGAAGTTAAGGACACGTGGTAAACGAAGCCAGAGCCTGGGACAGGTAGCCTGGCTGACGCTGTGTCAAGTCCTCGGGCTACGTTACCAAAGGAGGTGCCGAGTACGTTTGGGTTGGAGTTAGGAGGCTGACTGCTTTGTCGTTGTTCTGTACCTGGTGTAGGCTCAGCCACAAACCATCAGTGACAGCGTTCATTTCAGCACGAGGTGCCAGCCAAGTTATGTTTAGCTACACTTCTAGCAGTGAAGGAGGAAGGCATGCTCCAGAGCTAAAGGACAAAGGCAGCTCAGACCAAAGCAGAGCGGAAGGATCTGTTCACAGTCAGTAAACAGAAAAACAAAGGGGTTTGAGACTGATCATTAGAAGTTACATTAGCAAGCTAAGCTGCTTATCTTGAGGCCGTAGCAACAAACGGACAAATAGTGCTTTTACCTTCAGAAAGTATTTTGATTCGTAAGAGAACCTCACTGCAAAGATTCTCTATATTTTATATGACCAAAAAAAAAAATTAAAAAAATCATGAGTTGCTTCCCTGGTGAGTTAAATTATTAGACAATGGACAGAAACCAGTGGAGACAAATGCAGATACTAACACCTGCCATGAAAAATGAGCAGCTTGTTAAGACGGCCGTATGGCAGAAGGGATGCAGGGTTGCCAAAACCAAATGGCAATCAGAGGGAGTGATGATCATTCTGCAAGTAACTTTGCTGCTGGGATCACACTTATATGCCTGTCAAAGTATTTCTGTAACACAGGAACTGGATTTTACTGGGAAATGATTCCATCCTTGGCTCACTGGCAGAGGATGGTCTTCAACAGTACTGGCAGCAGTGGCATCACGTATGTGGTGCTTCCTCTGCATCAGATTCCCTCTGCTTTCAGAGGAATTAACTGCTGTGTCAACCCGAATGATCTAAGGACTTCAATCAAAGAATAAATTAAAGGGGATCGTGGACTGCAGAAGATGAGGGAATATATGCTTTGCTAAGCTTTTATCTCTTCCTGGTAGACAACAACATCAAACCAGTTAGCTCTAAGGAAGTGTACTCGATCCCCAGCAGGCTGCTGATGACCGTGATGCGATGCCTGAGAAGGGGTGTGCAGGATAGGAGGAGAATCCAGCACAGATTTGGAATACACACAGGATAACACAATCAGAACATGGCAACTGCTCCTCCTCTCATGTTGGAAAGGAAAGAGGAGTCTTTGTCAGAGAGGAGGTAACAAATACTGACCAGAACATTCTATACAGAAGGATCATCTGAGCAGTCTCTTTTCTTGGTTAAAACCTTACTCACAGACGTAACAGTGATAAACCACTTACTTGCCTGCTCCCCCACCATATGAGACACCCGCTGAGTTCATGCCAGCCAGAACGAAGTAGCCCCGCACGGTGGGTGACTCTCCCATGATGCACCGCATGTCTGGCGTGAAGGACTCTGGGCAATTCACTAACTGCATAATCTGCAGAGTCTCCAAATCCGGCATCCTGCGCAGAAGGGCACTCAGAAGTGGCTCTAGGACCCAAGATAAACAAACAAACAAAAAAAAAAAGACAAAAAAGTCACAGCCTTCAGTCTCGACGCATTTCAGCTGTGTCACCTTCAAACTGGACAGTACGACAGAGGCATGCTGTTATCTGAACAGATGGAACCTGCTTCCATGTTTCAACAGTTGCGGGATAAACCATTTACCTGCTGGAATCAAACTACTCAAAATGGATCCCACAGTATACCATAAAAGCAGCTGTACCGATCCAGAGCATGTTCAGTTTTGTTAGGGAAAACAATTAAGAACAGACATCAAATAGGTACCTAGTGAGGAATAAGAACAGGTACCATAAATCTTTATGACGCTTGTCCCACGCACTCTACCAGCCTCCACTTACCAGCACCTCAGAGGATTTCCTAAAAACCTGATATGTTTTCCCTACTGAGTAACTCCAAAATCGAATTCTCTTCTTAGTACTTGATCAGTCTTCCCCAAACTCATGAAAACATCCTACAGACACTGACAAGGAATTCCATGTGTTTAGTATTTGTTGTGTGAGGAACCACCTCCTTTTGTTTTGAAATTCATACTCAGTTAACCTTTTTTCATGCCTCCCAGTTGGCCTAATAGAAGAGACGGCAAACAGGAGATCCCCATCTATCCTGTCCATCTCATTCAAGATTTCACAGACCTTCATTTATTTCCCTTCTGTCATCTCTTTTTCCCAGCCCACTCAGTCATTCCTCGCTTGGAAACTGTTCCAAGCTTTGATCAGCCTCTTGCTCTTCCACCAGGCCTTCTCCAGTCATATGATACCCTCTGGAGACAACACCCTCCAGAACAACTAGTATCTCGCAAACCAAGGATTTAGTATTGCATAAAGATTGTGCTTTCTGCTCCTTTCCTAATAATTCCTAACTTGTCTTTTGCTTCGACTGCCGCTGAGCCGATGTCTTCACAGAACTGATACAACCCCAAGGTCAGTTCGAAGCCCATTATTTTATACGGTGAAAAGAAGATCATCCCTGCACACCTCCACGCACTTGCGTCACTTCACATTTATCCTCATTGAATTTCCTTGCCACTTCATTGCCCAGTCACGCTGAAAAGCTCCTTCGGCAATTCTTCACAGTCTGACATTTGAGAGCGTTAATAAAGGGATAAGCTATCTACTTTGGTTTTCTTGTCCAGAAGTTACCTCTGCATAGTATTCCAGATGAAAGCCCTCAAGATTCAGCACTAACAACACTCCTCAGCTTTACACACAAGCAGTAAAATAATCAGATTTCACATTACCTAAGAAGTTACAAACAGAAACAGTCTGACCTGCTCTTTCTCTTCCCCCTCTCATGCACTAGAATTCCAGAGGGAGAGCCTGTAGTTACAGACTTTTTTTTTCTGATTGCTAAAAAGAAGGATCAGTGTTAGATTTGTTCTCATATCCAGCCCAACGTTTAAGCAACTGTACAAGGCTATTTTAAAATCAAAAGGTGTTCCAACAAAAGAGATCAAAGCAGTAATGCAAGAGCTTAAACCGCAGGAACTGCAGCCCTAGAAAAGGATCAAATATTGGCTGAATAAGCTCTGACTCTGCTCAACCGTGCGGTATGTTTGAACTGATAAAAAAGGGTAACACTGGAACATCGCATGCAGTTGCTTCTGAAACTTGTGGGCAATTTGTGGGTGCCAGCAAGCAGTGCCTTTTCATTTCAGCAGTACCTAGAAAGCCAAAGAGGAAGAGGGTGCAGAGCTCGAGTAGCTCAGTAGTAAAGCTAATACCTTCAAGCAAGTCTGCAGGCATCTAGAGATCTAAATGCCTTTAGTGTATGCCAGCACAAAAAAGAGCTCCACCCCCTGGAGTTTCAACTTTTACGGTATCAATATGGTATCTTCCAGAAACTAAAGTAAAACTAATCAATTTAACCTGGGGAGTAGCTGGAAGAACACACTACCACTGCAGAAAGAAATCAGTGAAAGCCCATCTGTGCCTAGAGCCACACGCATTCACAATGGACGCACAGAGCTCTGACACATGAGAAAACTGGATTCCTGAAAGAAAAAATGTAAATTTGAAGATAAGAGGGCACACACAAACTTCCCAGGCATAAAAGAGGAAAGAAAAAGAAAAAACAGGGGGACTCATAGACTGTGCTATGTTCTTTCCTACAGAAAGAGCCCTCCGTGGAAAAGTACATAGAGAATATAAAAGAAGAATCAAATAAAATGGGAAGAGAAAGACAGAACATTTGGAACATAATAAACCACCACTGTTGATGGTGGGATGAAGTCTGGGAAGCAACAATACCAAGTTCTGTCCACAAAGCAACCGCCACCAAGGAAAGCGTACCCGGCAGTCACTGCTGGAGAGAGCTGCAGAAACCAAACACCACGGCTACGTGGCAGGACAACAGTGTCGACCTACAGCATCACAAGAGGAGCAGCACGTGGCACTGATGGTCAAAAATCAAACGAAACAGAAGAAGAGTGCTGGAAAGTTTATGTAGTACCTCGCTGCGTTTGAGGAAATTAACACAGGCTGAGGGTTAGCGGGTGTTTTTAAACACTACACAGGTATCAATGTAGTCCTTGGTAAAGGGGTTTTACACAAATAAAGAGATGAATGAATTTAAGAGAACGTTCATCTTTCCCACACTGTTCAGGTAAAGGCAGACACAGGGTAGCCGGCCAGCAACAGCCCACGTTGTTGCTAACTCTGCCTTCTGCTGAAGCCACGTGTTTCATTGCTGTGGGAATCTTTCCTCCCTAACATACCAAAATGATCCCAGTCTTCTTGAAGGTTCTGAATCTCCAGCTGGTTCCGTCCCTCCGTGAAAAGAGGTTTGGGGTTTTTCTCAAAGCCTCCCGAAAGGATGCCACCTTGCCAGTTGCGTATGTAGATCCTGCCGTCTGGGTCTACAATAGCTGCAGAGGAAAGAAAAGAGGCGGGAAGGGAAGTGAGAGAAGGGATAACTACCTCAGGCTATCATTCCACAAACACCAGTGATGAGGTCTGGTGACGGGCTGGGCCAAGCTCGTGGCCCCCCGCCACGAGAAGGGACAGTCTCAGTCCCAAAACCCCACACTTTCGCACCATTTCTGGTTCTCAAGTCACCCCTCGGTGAGCCAGTTTAGATTACTAAACCCGCGTGAACTCCCACCGCAACCACGCGTGTTAATTTTCAGGCAGCACAGTACACTGAATTGAACCCAAAGAGCACCCAAGCCAGCAGGACAGCGTCACCAGGAGCGGGAAGACACAAGAGGAAGTCAGACCAGCAATTATATCGGCTCAGCTTCACCAGAACTGCACCCAAAACCAGACCTTCCATCAAGAGATGCCCTGCCCTCCTCCTCTTTCTCTTCCTCTATTAAGAACAGTTAATTTAACTGGGGATGTGTCACGGATCCAGTTTGCTGCAGGCCACCAGCATAAAGAAGGTGGGCAGCACTGGGGTGAGGACAAGCAGTCAGGTCTGGATTGCTTTTTCCAGTGGTAGTGTCAACTTGAAACATTTATGATGTTCCACCTGACATGTTCCATAGCAGTTTTTTCCACGTACAGAAAAGCTGTGAAAATATACACATATATGTATGTATGTATGTATTTTTTTTAACTACCAGTCAAGTAAAAGTGAAGCACTCAGGGCCTCTGGTCAGAGCGCTGGATTCCCTGAAGACTATATACATTACTCACTAGAAGCAGAAACTCTTGCTAACAACTGAGAGTAAATAAGCAAAGTTTTCTACTTCCCAACCACAGTTTTCAAACACAAGGGCTTTTCTTTAAGAGATCCAAAAGCCAGAAGATGGAGGAGGAGCAATTACCTCAAGTGTTTGGTTGCCCCTACAGCTCATAGACATGTAAATGCCATTGTAAAGCCTTAGCTTCAGATGGAGGAAAGGAATAGATGGGCCATTTGGGGACAGCAGCCTGCAAGGAAAACATAGTGCCAAGGCTAGCACCCTCTCCAGCCCAGAAAAGCAACAATCCAAGTCTCAGACACACCTACTAGTCGAGCTAGAGTCAAGGTCATTCTCCTGCTAAGACGACCAACTCTGAAAATCAATTTCTGCAGCGAAAGCTTTCCCAACAGTAAGGAAAGAGATTCTACCACTGAAAGAGGATATTCAGAGTAATTCATCTAAAATATACCTCACAATCCCAAATGAGTGGAGAACTGATAGCCCTTAGTTGGCCTTTATGTCATAAACTCTGCATCGCCTTAGAAAGGCAGATATAATTCACCAAGAAAAGCGAGGCAGAGCTGAAGAATCCTTACTTGGTAAGTTGCTTGCCAGAGGTTCCTTCAAAGGATGTGTCAGGAGGTAGAAGTGTTCACAGGCATGGAGTGGGATATTGACTGGTTCCTCCCCAGAGTGGCCCAACTCATAGGCCCACTGAAATTAAAACGTGCATGTTAGAATGCAAAAGAAGAAAAATAACTCCAATTAAAAAAAGACAGGACAAAAGCATAGGTCTTCTCTGCAGGTTTGCTTTCATAAAAGGCCAAATAAGATTTGGTTTAGTCCCCTAAATCTTAAACCAACACACATTTTTTTCTCTTTGCTTAGAATCTGAACTGTTTAGGACAAAGACTTTTTCTGTTCCTCACATAGGATCTAGAAAAGCGAGGCCCTGATTCAAGACTAAGAAGTATCAACTCACAATACAAAAGCAAACTAAGATCGGTACACCGAAGTCAACACCAGGCTCAGCCTCTAGAAGCAGACTAGTCAGGGTTTAGGTGCCTGCACCACTAAGACCCCACGCTAACAAGACAGCCAGCTGCAAGCTGAGAAACTGCAATTGTCAGATGTCTTTTCAGACTGGAAAAGACATGACACTAAGAAAAACAACAGAAAAAGGAACTTTCATTTCAGTGTGTGTATGACAGAGGGAGAGAAGGGTAGAGACTTTACTGTCTCACTAAGAGCCAAAGCAAAATTCTTCCTGGCAGAAGGATGCACCCCCCAGGGCAGAGACCATGGGCAGAGCTGTACCAACAAGCTGCAGGGTGCTCCTCAGCAGGTTAACACCCAGTCTTTGGTGCCAAGCAAATGGCAAGCACTGCTTTCCTCCTTCACACCCCTGCTGCTCTACACAGCTGAATAACATCACTTTGATCTACTCCAGTAAACCAAGCCAAAGCACAAACCATTAAAAAACCTAGGAAAATAAAAAAAAAACCCAAACCCTGAGGAAAATGCACGCGTTCTTAACGAAAAGGAAAAAAAGAAAAATTTCAATAATTCAACCTGGCCAGCACAGTTGACGAAGTACTGGCATTGAATCTGTCCTCTGTCAGTCTCGACTCCAGCCACGCGACCCTTCTGGACTGAGACATGACTGACACTCGTTCGTTCGTGAATCTGGACACCTGGAGAGGACACAAGAAAGTCAGCATACCACAAACCTTCTTTCTAATGTGTTGGGCCGCTAACATTCAACCCTTAAACTCAACCTAAATGGTTATTTTCTCTTTAAGACAAAATTTCTATTCCTGACCCAGTAATTCTTAAGTGAAACCCTGTTATTTGTAAAATGTCATGCATACAATTTGAACTTAATTAAAAGGCTGAGACTGTGAAGAGTTACAGTACTTTTTTCCCATGTGACAATCTGGGTGATAAATACACCCTAGTATCAATGACATGAAAAAAACCCCAAGAGTCGCAGCTATGGATTTCTTTCCATTACAATTCCTTTACACAACAAAGTCTGTTGTTGCAGATGGCAAGACTGGTTCTTTTATGGGAAATCAGTCATTCTGTGAAAAAAAATCAATTAACAGTATGCAAAAAAAGCTGGACTGAAAGAAACAGAGAGGTCTCTTCCTAAGTAGCTTCCTCCAATCTGATGGACTTTCATCCTTAAAGAGCTTCATCTCTGTTACCATATTTAACCCTTCTCCCACTTTTAGACCACTCCAAATTTGCCAAAGTGTTGGGCAAAAAGCATTTATTGCTACGCTTCCAAACCCATTTCCAAAGCATATGCGCCCAACGAAATATTCCACAAGGACTCAGTCACACTTTTTCATTTGTAGGTAAAACTCTTTTGATGTGTAATTTTGAGTCAGGTCCTATGAAGGATTGTTTTTACAATAAAAGAGTGTGTGCTTATTCAGAGAAATATATAACCAGTAATGACAACAAACTGGTGCTTCACCTGTCATAGCAGATCTGTAAAGATTCAGTATGTTAAAAGAAAATTCAGCCTGTTTTTTGAGAAGAAGTAGAGTTTAAAGAATCTGAACCTTATAGAAATACCTGAGTTTTGGTCTTCAGTGCTCAGTTAGAACACCAAGAGAGATGCAGAACATAATTTTCTTTTAAGGAAAGAAGATAACTATCACACAGGAGAGCACTCTATAGATAAAAAAACCTCATACCGTTCCGTGAGGCAGCGGTTGCCAGAGCCAGACTCACATTGGCAGATGACACGAGTGCATCTTCTGGCACATACATGGCCCCCACAAGGTCATGGATGTTGATCAGTGGGTGGAGCTGTGCCACTTGCTTTGGGGTGATAATTTCACAAGGTATCCCCATTACACTGCCACAGAATGCAAGAAAAATGCCGGCATTAGTCTTGCAGGAGAGCTGATGCAAACTTAAGATCAGTACTCGTTCCTGCTTATACGTACTTCAGCGATGAAGCAATGCGTTTCAGAGAGATTAGTCGATCCTGAGTCTGAGCCAGTGAAACAGAGCCTGTCTTCACGTACCCTATGACAATGACCAAAGTCAAGTCAGATTTGGACAGGATCTTGAATTCCTTTTAAACTCAGACCCATTCCTTTAACATAATTGCAGATCCGTTGCTTCCACTACTCAGGAGCCTGGAAATCCCTGGAAATCACTTTAAAGACTTATCAGCTAGTAATTAAAAATTGCATTAGTCAACTTTTCAAAAAAGCAATTTAATTTTGACTTGTGTTCTAACTCTTTCTGCTACATTTACTCATGTTTATAAAAAAAAAATTAAACTTAACACATGGTACCTATTAAAAGAGAGAGAGAGGTTACTGGCTAAAAAAGTGATCTAATAAGTCTCAGAAGAATAAAACCTCAACAACTAATCGCAGACATTTTGTGACTCCACCACCTGCAACAGATTTAATAGTAATCTTAATTACAGGCACAGTTATTAATCTCTGTTGAGTCTGACATATATCACAAGTCCTTGTCAGCAGAACTCCTTCCGTGACTAAGTTCCTCCCACCAGGTACATGCCCGAGCATTTTGGAGGGAGGAGAATTTCAACACAACGTTTTCTTGTTCTTTCTAGGGCAAACCCAGAGTAAGATGGTTTCTAAAGCTTTGCCTAAGCTTTCGTGCTTCTGTAAACCACCTTCTCTTTTTGAGAAGTGAACCGGTGCAGAATATGGGCCATTTGCTCCAGTCACTGCACTATACTTCTCAGTGTATTTTTGTGAAAAATTCACCTATGTTTGCCCAAGTTACACACAACATGAATATGGTCACGGTTTGCAGGTAGTCTGGCTTCGGTTTGCCCATCTGATACCCTTCTTCCTCTTGTTCTGATTGCACTAGCAACATCCCTCAACATCTGATTCAGTCCAAGTGTACCGGTTTTGAACAGGCACCACTAACTCTTAAGCCACTGTAAAATTACATTCGTAGTTCAGTGTCAATACTTGGATTCAGTTTCCCAAAAATTACTCAACAATTACACATTCAGTACCTGTTTTTACTCCTGTCTCTTGTTCCAGCTGCTGGTAGAGTTTGTTTGAATAGTCTGCCATCTTCAGCTCTATGGATGTGTGCCTGGCTGTGCTCACGATGCCAGCACAGAAGCGAGTGGTACCAGCTGCCAATCTGCAGGAGAAGTTGCAAGGAAGGTCTCATCCAGCTGAGAGGCGAGCACCCCCCAAACGTATCAGACCAAAAGCTGTAAGTTGGATGATGCAGGTCAATGCAACCTCTAGAATGCTTTTCCTTTAGCTCACTTTTGGGAACACATTGTATTCCAAAACCGTTTCTCTTTAACTAGTCCTAAACACTGAAATTTTTCAAGGAAAGCACTTTTTAAAAAAAAGAAAAAAATTAGCCTATGCTGAAGTCGACCTGCCTACCTGATTCTCTTTCTCCAAAGCAGGATTTCTCTCAAAATTAACTTCAATTTGAGCATTGTTCTTACTGTAAACTGCAAAGATTCAGGTCCCTTTTACTGTGCAGCAGCTGCCACAAAGAGGTACACGTATTTCTTGTCACTTCTTAAACTGCCCTTAAACCGCTGTCTGTCTAGCTATTTGGTGAAAGGCTGCTGTAGAGATAGAAACCTGTTAAAAACTCCCTGCAGCACAGACAGGTATAGACAAGACAATTAGATTTAAGCATCTCCCTTGCAACCTGCTTCCACAATACTTCCAAGTCATCTTTCCTGCTGCTAAAGCAATCCCACGTTTTTCCACTCATCTTTAACACGGCTGCTTTTGGCCTGGCGTGTCCTTATTCTCTCAGAAATTCAACCTAGGAATCAGCTGAGTAAGGTATTCTTTTTGCTACGTCCCTACTCAATCACAACTCAAACAGCTGAAGCACGGTCTCACCGTGCTGTGCTTCACAAAAGACATTTCTGCTAACGCAATGTTCTTCTTTCTCCTTGAGCACACACACGGACCGAGCTTGTACAGCATCTAACTCAATGGAGATTCGTAAGGGGATATTTGTACCCCATCCCAGGCTAGAAACGATTATGTTTCCTGACAAATGAAGCCTAGCAGCTAATTTCACTTGGAAGGACACCACTCACAATTTCCTCTCTTTGCAACTATAAAGAACTTGATAGTACCTGCTTCCCAGCCACACAAAGTCAAGGAGTCACAGCTAATTATTTAAGGCAGCATCAGGTAGGAAGCTCTAACCTAGACAGTAAATATTCTCAGTTCGGCACCTATTTAGTGTTAGAAAAGCTGCTGCAATAAACACCTCTTCAAACCCCCAAAGTCTTAGCACTGAAAAACCACGAATCCACCTCTGAAACAGAAATCTAAACAACATGTAAAGGCTGTACAGTTAACTTTCAACAGGATCTATGTACTCTACCACAGACTGTACGTCCAACTCACCGAGGAGCGCACAAAGACTCATATTCGACCAAACCGTCATGGCCTTAGCCTTTATACAGATAGGCGCCAAATCCTGCAACAAACTACATAATCCGAGCCTTTAATCAGCTTACAGGTGATGTTTAGTGATGTCCGCTTATAACCTGCCCATCTCCTGCAAGCTCTTTTGAACATTGCTAGTGGTGTGTTACTTTATATACGCACCACATCCTACTTCTAGAGACGGTCAATAAGGGCCGGATGATTTACACAGATTTTTCGTTCTCTTAGAACAGTCCATCTTTGCCGGCTGTGCTGTGTTTTACAGAATTACATCAGAGCAGACGGATATCTTCCAAAGGAATTGTGAGCCACGGAAAACCCACACCAGGACAGAGTTCTCCTGATGGGAACTGCAGCCCGTGGAGGACACACACTGGAGCCCAGTACTGACCAGACCCCCCACGGTTCACCCCCTGCGCTTCTCAGGGTGGAGTGGGGGCTGCAGGAGCACGGCAAAGGCAAGGCAGTGTTTTAACGCTTGGGTTTTGTTTCTGACTACCTGAATCTATTTTAACTGGCATGAAACAAAGTAATTCTTTAATTATTTTACATTAATTTTCCCCAAGGCAAGCCTGTTTTGCCCACAGCAGTAATTGGTAAGCAATCTTCGTATCTTTATCTCAACCTGCAAGGTTTCTCAGCCTGCTTTCTACCTGTCTTGCTGAGGAGGGAAAGCGAGTGGCCGTGGGGGAGTTTGGCCCCTAACCAAGGTTAACCCACCACAACCACACAAGGGATACCCTTCACCTTGCAATCTGCCCTGTGCTGTGAGGAAGCAGCGTCATTACTAATGCCCAGAGTACGTTTATTCCACAGGTCTGAGTCCAGGCGAAGAGGCAGAAATAACATATATGCACGGGAGTCCTGTTTCTTTGGTTTTGTTACCAGGAACCCTTACCTGCCCTGCTCAAGTAAGACTATATCCTTCCAACCCATCTTGGAAAGGTGATATGCCACGGAGGTGCCCATGATTCCACCACCACAGATGACAACCTGCGCCTGTGCTGGCAAGGAAACCGGGTGAGGTTCTGCTGTACTTGAGGTACTTCGCCAGGAGCAGGTCATTCTTCTCCATTTCGGGTTAGCCGCCCGCCACCGGACATCTGACAGTAATCGGAGAAGCATCCTGGCAGCTATTTGTCAGTTTTCTTAAACCACCACCTAGACGTGTTCAGACGTTAACTCAGTACCACTCCTTCTAGGAAGGAAAAAGACGAGAATCACGTTACTACTTATCTTACTATACACAAGGTTGGCAGGGACAAACATCATGTGGTGCGTCACATACAAACGATGAGTAAACAAACAGGAGAGCAGTTATTCAGCCCTGAACCGATAGCCTTGTATTAAGATTTACACTTAGATCGTGCAATGGGTACAGAGCATTACAACTTCATTTCTCGACGGCAGCGTAACTCGACAATGAGCAAAGAACCAGACGGAAGCTGGAAAAGAACGGCGAGAACGTTCTCACACCAGCGACAGGTAGGTCACAGAACTCCAGCAGGCACAGCACGTGCTCTGAAATCTTTTGGAAAGGCTGAGGTCAATACAGGGTGCGAATAAGCTTATTAACGTTGTCAGGCCTTTACCTGAGGAAGGAAAAAGTCTGTCATCAGAGCAACTAGAACGAGGAACTCGAGGCGCGCTCTCCAATAGCATTAGTTTTACCACAAGACGTTACCCGGGCCCTCCGACTGCGGTTCGAGCAGCTCGGCCCAGTGACCAAAGCTGGAATTTCAGACTCTGCCTGCGCCAGGCGGGTTCCTGCTGCACCCAGGAGGGTTCTCTCAGCCGCAGCCTGCC